TAGTCTATGGGAAGTGAATGTTACTTGGACGCGAGTGGTGCGGTCTGGTACTGCTGAGCGTTGCACGTTGGTAGAGAAAACGGGTTGACACTGAATGGCGATGATACTAGCCCACTCATTCCTGTTGACAATATTATATAGTTACTAGATTTGCACACTACTTTGCTCGTATAAAACGTCGTTTTAGAAGCCTATATGTTGCCAGAATATATATAGAGCTATATTTATTCAAAATTTTATTTATATTTCAGGTATTAGTGAAGTAAGAATCACACTAACGCTCGCTTACTCACAGACTCCCATTTGTGATATTTGTTACCCGGGAAAATAAAGAATGGGATTAGGCTCTTGAATATCATAAAATAACATTATAAAAACAATAATACTATAATTATAAATACCTCATAATAGGTATACCTAAATAGAGGAAACACCTTTATAATATCATTCTATATCTGATCCAGCTATATTTTGGATTTTTTGTATAGTCGTGTTTGAAATCATTTTTCCTCTTATAGCTTTATTTATTTAAAATGTCTTAGTCACGTTAATATCTAGGTATTAATATAATATTTTCTGATAAGTAAATTACTTATAATTGGGTAATTTAAAATAATTGAGATCGATGATAAGTTGATTTCAAATAAGTTGTTAATTTTATTAATTACTAAATACTAAACTTAAGGAAATTCTTAAGTGAAAAAATACTTAACTAATTTAATATTGTATAATAAATCTGGAAATCTTGTTACGAACTCGCATTAATAGCTATATTATATATAATGAAAGATCTAGTTTATACCATCTCTGCATAGTTACAGTTAGAAACAGCTTTTAAACTCAAACATTTAGTAAAATAAACAAACTAACATGAAAATAAAATTTTGCTAAAGTCTAAGATCTAGCATTCGAATTATATATAACTATCATCAGCTAGTTAAATTGAACAACATTTGAAAGTATCTACAGCAACATAAAAATACAATATTTTATAACTAAACAGTAAACACTTATTTCAATGCTGGATCCTAGACTATAAAAGTAGAATATAAAGCGGAAGCAAGAACACAAACAACACAAAAGCAAAATAACGAAACCACTAACATTGGACGGTGAGGTGTTGCCAGTTTTGATGTTGGAAAGTGGGCGGACTGTGTCTTACAACTGCGAATGCACTTCTCTTGGCCTCTTTATTTTCTTTCATAGATTTTGAATGGGAATTTTCTGGACAGTCGTTTTTAGTATCATTTCTCTCAGTATAATTCTCGCCGTGTTTATTATAGGTATAGTGATTGGATAAATGTCCGTTCATGTTGTTGGGATGGTACGGTCCTAGAGACGCTGGACGGTAAAGAAAACACGAGTTAACACAAAGCGACACATACACATGGCGTGCGGAAGCGTATTCTATGTGAAATAAAACCTAATTAAGTTCCGGGATATAAAGTGAGCTCTGTTAAATGTTTGATTTAAAAGTATATAACAAGAGAGATAGAAATTGATATTTCATTTTTATTTAATATTATGAAATCAATTCATATAGTATGAATGTTTAAAATATATTTTATTTTATATTTCCATATTTACTTTTAGCTCATATATGTATAAGTATTTTTATATGTATATAAGTCAATTTTTCAATCATCAGACATTTTTTTCCATGGACTAAAAATAATTTGACGAAAGTGCAAGAATAAAATACTACATTCGATACAACTGTATCGAATTTTTGTATACTGAAAATAAGAAAAATAAAACCTAAATGAAAATTTGATATCTTAAAAATCTGATGATTTTAAAATTATTTTTCTTTCACTCTCAAAGTCCGGTAGGCGGTGAATCTCAAGGTTCTGGGTTCAAGACCTGGATCAAGCCAAGTTTATTTATTGAGTCTCTCTGTTAAGAAAGTCTCAATAATAGCCCGGAGCTACGAAGTGGCGGTGTTTCACCCCTGTGCCTCGTAAAGCACCTATTGTCGCCCTACCGGAGTATGAGAGTAACAAAAATATAGAGTTCTCTTGTGTCTACGCGTACACTTGCACACTACGTTATCTCTTGCACAGTTGGCAATGAGAATGGCAGCTGTGGCCGAAGCCAACTAGAAGGAAATCGTCATTAATAATAGTCCGAATACAACTCACGTGTGGTCCCTTTTTAAAAGATAAAAAAAAACTTCATAAATAAATAAGGCAGGGACAAAACTTCCGTGTTGCTACTTATTTAAAAAAAACTATCTTTTCGGACTTTTTCACAGATTTATTTTAATTTCTGGTTTCCGACGTTTCAAATACTTTACAGCAATTATGGTCAGGGGAGAGACGTGAAAGACAGAGGAGGTCTAGTTGGTATTTCCGGTGAAAAAAAAATCCAAAGAGATAATTTCAATTAATCTAAAAAAGTATTATAAAAAAGATCACTTTATAAATAAATAAATCAAAACAGACACAGACAAAACATCCGTGTTTGCTTAATTTATAAAAAACTAGGTTGATTCCCCATACAAACTTTCATTCCCATTTTCATCCCCTTAAGGTATTTCCGGGTAAGTGATTTCCGGGTTAAAAGTATTATGTCTTCCTAGGGTCTCAAACTATCTTCTTAAGAAATTTCATTTAAATCGGTTCAGTAGATCCAGAGATTACCCCCTACAACATCACAAACTCACAAACTTTACCTCTTTATAATATTAGTATAGAAAACTCACGCGTGGTGGTGTTGAAGAGCGATGTGGGCGGCGCGTAGTGCTGCGGGTAGGTCGCGTGCGGCGTGGACGCGGCGGAGCAGTAGCGGGGCGACACTGAGCCTCCACTACGCGCGTACTCCTCTAAAAGAAAAATCCTGGGTCAACACCGAAGTGGTTAGGATTGGGATGCTGGATGTTTGATTGATTGTTTAATTATAATGTAGTTTTGCCTGTATGCGTATATTATTTCCCATTTCCCAATCAACAACCATTATCACTAGGTAAATAATGTAAATATAATCGCTTTGTTGAACGTACTTGACTGATAAGTGCTATATTTTCACTTAAAATGATTTCTCGATTTAAAAAAATTGACAAATAAATAAATACATGGATTATTATAAACGGTCAATCTTTGACCATATCACCTACAACGATTTTAGTGATTCTTTTTTTAATGAGCACATTATAACGTCTTAAGGGTGTTTACTATATAAATTCAATAAAAATTACTCCTAAGGCTTTTTCTGTGGCTTCGCCCGAGTACAATAATGGATCCGATATCTTTATAAATTATAGCTAATGCATACTTTAATGTATAAGTTTTACTAAAAACTTTTACTAAAATCTGTTCAGCAGTTTTTGCGTGAAAGAGTAACAAGACAACAAGTAAGAATATCCTCAGAAACTGTAGCATTAAATTATAATATTAGCAGGAAAATTAAAAGATAATATTTATATCTACATATAATATCGTATCTCCGATAAAATAGAGTTACAACTCAAAAAAAATCTAATAATGAATGAACCTGAAAATTTTTAAATTGTTACGTCAAAATTTTCAGGGTTTTTTTTTCAGGAAAACTGAGAGACAGATGTCATTTAATAGTATTTTTGTAACCTTATCACGTACCTATATATTATAATTTGTATCACTTTTTTGTTTTCGTTCGCTTTTCTGAAAATCTAGGCTTTTCGAGTTGTAACTCTGGGCAACCGAGCTTCGCTCGAGGTTACATTAAGGTTTACAAGCAAAACCTTATCTGAATACGTACAAAATCTGATCCAAATCTTCAATTCGAAAGGAAATAAAAATTTTAAACAAGAATTGTTCGTTTAACACGTTCGCTGCATTACGAGATCTATCAGATCTCTTGCAGGACTTTTGTACTGTGCGTTGACTATAATCGTGTTGTTTCACTCCTTGCGGGAGGCTCTAACGTGTAAAGTTCTTTAAGTATGAGTAAGACAAATATACATATTTGCTTCCTACTTAAAGGTGAATTCGAGGACATAAAAAAAATAAATAGAGATGGATTAGGTCCCTAACGCACAGTAGTATAATTATTTTTATTCCTTGCGTTAGGAGACATGTCGATACTCGTGGAATCGTACGCCTCGTAGACGCAAGAAAGGGAGGTTGGGGGGCGCGGGCGCTGTATGAATCGATTTAGTGTTGTCCTAGTGTCGACGTGGGAGGTTGCGCGCACGTTTCGAAAAAGTGTAAAATAATTTTTATTTAATATATTTTATTTAATTATTTAATAAAATTGTTTTATTTTGGTGAGATTTCTAAGAATGAAAAATCAACGCTGGATTATAGTGCTGCATCGTCCAGTATAATTACAATTTTGGAAAATATAATGCTTTTTATTACAGAATTCCCCGAAGGAAGATGTACAGATCATGTTTTCCAACGTGGCGACAAAAAAAGACGTTGTGTGGGTTGTTATGAAAAATTACGACGCACATTAAACAGCACTGACGCTTCTAAAAAAAGCTGAAAAAATACCATTTGCGCGCAATGCAAATAATCAATGTGCTTACTATGTTTTAATGAAAAACACTTTGCATAGTTTATAAATAAACTTCTTTAATAAAACTTTTTCAATCGACAACTGAGATATTATTTTATTCCCATCACTACTTACTACACATATTGAACTATCTTCGGTTGCGGTACGAGATACAATCGATATCTAATTTTTTTTTGGTATTTGTAGCTTATTCTAATGTCATAACTGCGTGCGAACCTAGCAAAATGTAGAGCAATAGGCTCTCTTGACCCACAAAAACTTTAAAATATATGTCATTAGCTTTTTGGAAGATATAAATTATTTTCAAAACTGTATTTTTAGGAGACTGATTAGGTCTCTAACGCACCAAAGGGTAGGCTAGTTTCGAGATCTTTTAGGTCTCCAAAGCACCAGCTGAAAGTTCTTTCAAAATGATGACGCAGTGAACGTGTTAATATACAAAATATATACATATTAACAGGGTAGTTAAAAGATAAATAGTTTATAGTTTTCCCACCCACCTTCAGTCCACTGCGAGGCGGTGGTGTCCTGCACGCTGACCGCCAGCTGGCCGCTGTACGAGTTGAAGGGCATGCTGGCGGGCGGCGAGCGCGGGCCGAGCCCCAGCTGGTTGTTGCGCGGCATGGAGTACAGTGCTTCCGCTAAATCCGCTGCTCGTTTCAGGATTATCTCCTTTTGGAAGAGGTTTGAGTATTTGAGAAATTTTGAAGAATAATATATTGATACAAGTAAATATATAACTAACCAATAACTAAATACTATAACTACATACATAAATACTGTACCTACATTATACATATATAAATATAAATTATAAAAAGGCAAGTTTAGCACGAATTATGCTTAAGTTAATAAAGATAAAAATAATACATACAAAGAATCCTCTTTCAAAGTGTGTTATATTATTTGATTTTAATAAAAATATTATAGTTAAAATATTTTGACGTTAACGGAAAAATGCAAACAAAAGGCATTTAAAATAAATAGAACATAAATTCTAAATATTACGTCACTTAATCTTACGATATCTGTTCTTATAATTTTACTAATTATACATTGTAAGCTCTATGTAATGACGTGACGTACGTACATACAAAAAATTTACCTTAGGTAATTTCTCAGGATCACCGGGATGCCTCGGTATAAGTTTCTGTAGTCTTTGGAAGCCATAATCTATTGTTGGCTCGTTGAGAGCTGCTATGCGAAACAAGAAAAACAAAATCAATCATTAGCTGCCCCACTAACGAATGAGAGCCTAATTGATGGATCGCTATCGAAAGAAATTGCGCACCACGGATTACTTTTTGGCCTGTTTCGGCCTTTCACGTGTTTGTTGTTAATATAGGTATTTATTATGGGAAAGAAAGTAATTCGTTTTATTCGATTTCTTTAATGTTTCCTAAAACATTTATGTGATTTGCAATGTTAATTAATTATACACTTAATGTGTTTTCTCTAAGTGTCATTCATTCTATTTATTCATATCTAATTCTCATAGGTGTGTCAATACGTTCGTACTGTTTTAAAAGTTTAAAAATGGAATATTTCTAAAAAAATATTATATTTTAATTTAAATATATAACCGAATGATGATTTTGAAACAGCCATGGCACAAAAGGATACCTATTTTTTCTCTATTATATTAACTTAAGTCAGTTTTTCAGTGCTTATTTGTCCAAACGGCTAATTTGCCGAAAGAGTTTTTAAACACAGTTTTATTTACTTATGAATATCAATTATATCGGTATTAAACACACATTTTAATGCAGTCGAAAAAATATATTTTATCTACATATATGTGGCTATATAAATGTTGAAAATAAATTTTTGTTTTTAAAATAGAGGAAAAAATCTCTTTACTGTAAAGAACAACAATTATTGGTAATTTGATCAAATAAGCACTAAAGGGATGTAGAACTATAAATTAAAAACCTAACATTAACACCTATATCTAATCTATAAAACGATTGACAAACACTCACAAACATATACAAATCTCCCGGGTGCACCTTTGCAGAACTGTTTGCTCTTGTACGAAAGCGTCACTTCAACAACACCCGGTATATGCCGCGGCGGTGTCTGAACTCTGATCGCGTGCGAAGTAATTAACTGTTGACAATAAACGAAGAATAAACGATTAATAATGAAGGTGACATTATTTAAGTACCTATTATAGTTCCACACGCTACGCTTGACATTTATCATGTGTTTAGGCTCGTGTGTAAGCTCGTTTTAGGCGTGGCCTTTAAACTACTGAAAATTACGCTTATAATTACATAGGTACTGAGCAGAATTAAATTAATATTTGGCGTAATTATAATTTAATTTCTTATTGTAGTTTCATTTTCATGCTCTTTTCCTAGTGATACCTACCTATAAATGTGTACCAAAAGCAATCTGTTATTTCGTATGAAGGCCATCCAACTGCCAAACGCAGTCAGATCGAGTTGTAACGCACATAAGTTAAATACAAATATCTTACGTGGGAGTTCAATTCGCGATGTCCGAAATATAGATATTTAGATTTTAGATCTCTTTTTTCAAGAATATCTTTTTATCAAGAAAAATTACAAGGCGGTAATAATGAACATTGTTTAACAATATTTATTAAAATAAATCTTACCTCACTCCATACCAGCATAGTTCCGAATACTACTTGCAGTCCATCGAAGAAGTTGTCCCCCACTATTATAACCGTAGAACCCCCTGACGTCCAGCCTTCGCTCGGAGATATTGCTTTGATGCATGGCGTTGCTACGGGCAACGGTGGATATAGCCCCGCTATAGACCAAACAAACAATTCTAATCACTAAAACACTCTTCTTACGGTTGAAATTGCAATACTACGAGTATGAGTAATAGGTATTGAAAAATAAACAAGTGAAAACTACCTAGCATACATATAGTAAGTATGAAAGTAATAAAAACGTGACTAAAGTCGTTACACTACAAGTAAAAGTCCGCTATGTCAAACAAGTTAAAAGTTGAATAAACGCCAAACTGTAAACTCACGCAGTCCTTAGGCGTTTATCTTTGCCAGTTCCATAAAAAGGACAATCGCTAAAGTTCTACACTAGTTCAACAAATAGTTATGTTGATAATTTAAAATGAATTTTAACGTGTTGTAGTAAAGTTCAAAATATTTAGTAATTAAATGGTTGTTAGGATTTTACTGTAGTGTTAATGGATATGCAAGGCTTCGTTGAGGGGGATACGCGTCGGAAGACAACAGGAAGAATCTGAAATCTTGCAAACGAATTTCGGTAATAAAGACAAGAAGAGAAAGTGAATTTAAGGGGACGAAAGAAGATTAAGTCGGTGGTACTTTTTAATTTGAGTAATAAAAACATTTTTCCTTTTTTTCCCCTGCGAGTGAGTAATTAATATTTGATATATTTCGTCCCATTTCATTGGTAAATAATGGGGGGAGAAACGGTATTAAGTTATTTGAATTTTTCATTAGGTAGGTACCTACTTGGCATTTTCTTTTGGATGATGTACTATACATATGTACAGAAATAACGTAGGATACCTTTAACTTTCATATAGAAATATTGCAAGATATCCTTATACATATGATTATATTTAAATATATTTTTACTCACAACAAATATACAAAATTTAATAAATTTATAACGATGTCAATTGGATTTTTAGGATAAATATTAATATAATATATTAAATTAATAATTTTAGCCTCTAGGCGTTGTTCATACAGCATTTATCAACATACATAAATTATTAAAATGTATAATATGATAAATACTTTTAGTAGATTATATTTTTTTGGCTATAGTTTTAAGTTTTAACATGACATAATTCTTCTAAATAATCCGTCTTAACTTTCGTCTAAAGCACCACCCACCCGCTCCTGTGAAATGTCTACCGTGATTCCTTGCATACAAACGACATCCTCAATTCTTGTATTATGGCTTTACACACTTGTTCGGATACTTTGAGTTTAGTTTTTGGCTTAGTAACGTCTTAAAGAGAAATATTTGCATTATCTGTTTATTCCAATGAAATTGTGCTACAACAAATTAAAAAATATCGCTACACTCTCACGCGTAGTTTTACCCATGTGCGACATAATTATATTTTTTTGTTACAAAGAATTTTGAAAATACATGACTCTATGACCTTATATAATATTTTTTCCAATATTACGAATAACCTAAATGTAAATATAAATTAAAATAAAATTCATTATGTATATAAATAAAAATATAATGATATTCGTTGGTAAGCATTACAGTTAATTAACGTTGGTTAACTTAAGAACGGCTAAATCGATTCGGGTAATTTTTATTTAAAAAGGCTTGTAATAGTCTTAAAGGTTTTAAGAAAATAACATAAAAAAGTTTCCCGGAAAATATAAAATTCCCGGAAAAAATTAAAATAAAAGTGTTTAAAGGGTATTTGTATCAACTCAAAGATAATATATAAACAGGACAACATCTGACGGGTCAACTAGTATAAAATAAACTTGAAAAAATAATAAAATAAAAGAAAAACAAAAACGTACAATTAGGTTCGGGCGCGGCGTCAATACCTTCAGTAGGGTCAAGACGTTTCGCACGTCTTCCGTGCTTGCTATTGTTGTGTACAAACATGTTGTCCGATATCGCGAGCAGTGGGCCGTCGACCATCACTTGTGTTGATATTACCACCTGAAAATTAACTTAAAATTAGTATTTTATTTAGTAAGTAGCAACATTTAGTTATAATTTATATTTAGTAATAAGTAAAATAAGTATTTTAAACAAATTCGTTTCTAATGATTTACAACAGCTATTGTGGTCAAGAGAGAAAAAGATTTATTTAACATGTTACATATGCCCGTAAAACTAAGAAAATATTAATAATTAATATACGTTTATATCCAAAATAATCTTTATCTACGTCCTCGTTGTAATCTATACATATAATAAAGTTCTGAGTCGAATCTGTACATTAAATATTTTTTTGGTAAATCTTATTAAAATAGTCGTTATTATCGATACAGCGGCCGAATCTATAGTTTATATAATTTTTGTCTGTCTGGGAACGCATCACGAGAAACCCACTGGACAGATTTTGGGTCAACATATACAATACTTTTTACTGTGGGAATATATCTCATTTCTGAAAAATCTATACCAACCGTTAAAACGTACCTAGGGACGAACCCGAGCGAAGCAAGGGTGAGTCGCTTGTTCAACATATAACTTTCCGTCTTTAAAATTGTGTAGTTAATTAAAATAAAAAAAATAATTAAGGGCATTCAATAATGAAAAACTTAAAAATATAATAAAGGAATATATTCCTTCCATTAGGTATATATTTAAATCTATTAAAGTATACAAGAAATGAAATAAAACAAACCATGACCAAAACTCATCAACTATTTCTGACATGAAGTTCAAGATCATAGCGAAGGGCTACAAAAATAAAATCCACCAATCGACCTGCATCGATAGTGTACAACATGGACATTCCTACACACGGATAGCACACAGAAGTATTATTGAAAGGGAGAGTCCCTGGGGAGGTGGGGCCAGCGTCTCGAAAAGGACGGCAGTAGGTATGCAAGTGCATTGTGCAAGTGTTATCATGGTTTAAAATTTAGTTGTTTTAATTATTATTAAGTTTTAATATTATTTCTATGTAAAATTAATTTGTTAGACCTAGATTTTTAAACATTTAGAAAAAGTTACGAACTTCAAATTTAAGAAAATATAACCTATTTTATTCTAAAAACTATATAAAAATATTTTTAATTTACTTCATTATTTCTTTCACCCTAGCCAGTTCTAAGTACTTAAAAATAATCCTCAAAAATTATAATGACATTCTCTTTTCTTTTAAAATAAAATGTCTATTAAATCTTGTAAGAAATATGTACATACATACATAAATAAATAAATATGTTGGGACATTAACACACAGCACCATCCAGTTCCATGGTAAGCTACGAAGCTTGTGTTATGGATACCAGATAATTGATACCCTACACATACATATATATACTTTAAATACATATTATAAATATAAACACAACTGACTGGAGTACAAGCATTCGTGCTCATCACACAAATGAATGTCCCCAGCGGGACTCGAACCCAACACCGCTGGCACAGTAAGTAGAGTCACTATAAACTGCGCCAAACGTGTCGTTATCATATATTTATAATCTTTAAAGATAGTGGTAGTTTTAAGTCTCGACAGCCGTTTATATATTGTTATACATAGCACCCATATATTCTTACCCTTGAAACATTGGGGAAAGACCACTGAATTATTCAATGACACACAGAAAGACAAATATAGACATTGTGAACGCGTTCCATAAACGCTAATGCATATTAAAATGAACACTATATGTAAGTAACAGTAAGTTCTATATTTGTTCAAAGTTCGCTGGAGGACACGTAAGACAAATATATCGAAGGCAAGTGAGGAAGTAAATTTGTACTCATAAGTAGACTGTGAATGCACCTTTATGGCTTCAGTAGGGGTGAGAGTAAAATTATGATCCTACCTATTTATTGTATGTAATAAATAATATTATTATTAACTTACAATACAAGTTTTTATTTTATCCTGAAGAGATAGTGTAACTTAGATGAATTCAAATATTTAAGTAAATTTTGAGAAATATGGAAAGTTAAATTATAATAAAAGTCGACTCTATGTAAAAAGAATGGGAAACGTTCCGATTAAAACGGCCTGTGCAACAAATCACAAAGGAAAAGATCGGGTGAAAGTAAATAGATAAACTCGCATAAATAAATTTAATTTCATCCTTTCCAAAATTGGAGGTACTTCAAATATTCAGCAGCTGTGAACGCAACCCTTCCTTCAGTAGAGGGCGATATGAGACAGTGTTGTGGTACATTTTATAAGAAATTTGTATTTCACTTTCTTTAAAAAATGGAAGGTAAGACTCTACGAGTATTTAGTCTAAACTTATCAGCATAATATTTATATCTATTAAACTTCTTGATTTTTCGTTTATATATACTTATCGAAAGAAATATTAAGACTTAATAAAAAAAATATATAATCATAGTATGAATAAAATAGTAGGTCATAATAATGTTATGTATACAAATTTTCTAAGCAAATTTAAATATAAGTGAAATCTTAACACTTAAGCCACACTGAAAGCAATACCGACAAGCTCGTACTGGCTACGCAAGGTTTTTTAAGCAACTAGTAGGCTTCTATTCACGTTACGACAGAAACATTACAACTTAGATAAAAGAAATAAAAAAATGCCATAAAGTTATATCATTTAAGTAAATATTTCAATATAATATGTTATTTTTATTTTCACGGAAGCGTTAAACTTTTGTGCTATAAGTATTATTTTTTATTTTAAAACCTTAATACAACTTACTTGAAATCTTCTCATATCTCGTGGGTTGCCAGCGTTTTTCAAACAATTTTGGTTGCACTTGAGGAAGAACTTAAGAAAAAACCTGTAAACAATAGCTTCATTACTGTATGTTTTCAATTAAAACAATATCTTCACTACTAATATTATAAACGCGAAAGTTTGTAAGAATGTATGTATGGATGTATGGATGTATGAATGTATGTTTATTACTCTTTCACGCAAAAACTACTGAATGGATTTTGATGAAACTTTACAATAATATAGTTCATACATCAAAATAACACATAGACTACTTTTTATACCGGAAAAATGTACGGTTCCCGTGGAATAGATTTCTTTTTGTTTTTCTAGACGCGAACCTCTGAGCGAAGCGAGGGTGAACCGCTAGTATCTTCATAAAAGATTATTATGTAAAGACATTAATGTACATAAAAATAATAGAAAAGTATGTAAAGACATGTGACAATATATATTAAAACATTGAAAAATGAATATTGTAATAATATAAATAGGTACATGTATATCATTTTATACGCTACTAATATCTATATGTATAATGTATATTATTATTCCTATAGTTTTTGCTATTTTAAGACTTCAATAAACAAAAATACACACTGTTATTTTTACTTATACATTAAGTGCATTTTGCTTTGATTTCAGGATAAGAATTTAATTTCTATGTTAAAAATAATAGCTAAGTCGCTAAGTTATTCATTAACGATTTTAATTTATAGTTGGAATACGTTTTAGTAGCGCACCCAACAGCTGTTTCCACTTGAATAGAAACCGTAAACTCCCCATTATAGTATTAATTTGTTTCTCGTGTTCACAAATTTGTATCTTCCGCTCTTCCATTGCCGTTTTTGTGAAACAGCAATTAAGCGTTCGAGTGCCAAGTTCACAACTTTTTGTCTAGATTTTTAGCAGTAAAAAATTACAAACCTTTTACGCAAAGCTGTTAGCTTTATACTAAATCAAACAATTTTCAATGAAAGTCTATAGGCTCTACTATCGGGATATCGGATTACGTACAATAGTTGATCTTTGCAATTTTGTAGATTCGACTGTGTTACTGTATAAGGGTCTTTATGGCGTCGCGTTAAAGTGATAGGAGGATGGTTAGATATGTTGGTTTGTGCGTAACGTAGCGCGCGATCAGGCGGGCGATCACGATGAATGCTTTAGCAGAAATATTTTACATAGCCTCCGGCATCGGCTATGCCGCGCTGAATATTGCTGTGCCAACAGATGCGGATATGGCTAGAGCTGAAACAACTAACACACATCATTAACGGAAGAGAATATTTGAAAATACACAAATTTCGTATATGGTAAAATATAAAACGTTAAATTTAATGACACTTGATTCAATAAAACTTTCAATGATATATAGCAAAATGCTAATATTGTGTTTTTTTTATTTAACTTTGTTTTTTCATACTGATTATTACTAATTTTTTATAGTATCACATTATTTACTCACTCTTTTTTCAAATTACAAAGAAATAACAATAAAAAAATATATAAGTATGTATATGTTAAAGCCACTCTATACAAAACAGCACAGGCCAGATATGAACAGTGTGCCGCGAACGTATTTGTAGAGCCCGCGGCGTCGCACATCTGTCCGCATTATTTATGTTAAACACCTTATGTCACAATATTGCGAGTTAGTTTACACGGATACGTCAAACGAGACCGACTGGAGGCACGAATGGGGATTTTATTTTAGAATTCAGGACACATGTGTTTTATTTAGTAGTTAAAGCTACCTTGAAATTATTTAGCATATATAGATAAGATTAGTTTCTTAAGTTAGCTGAGTTTTTATAAACTTTTATATAATTTTCTTATATATATATAGCTATGTGTTTGTTGTGCTGTGAATAAATCTTCATAAATTATTTTCAGGTCCACAAACATACGATTGGTGGCGCATGAATCGTCATTGTAATTTTTTCAATTGTGTCAATGTGGTGATTTTTGATTTATCAATCGAAACGTATTTTAGATGTGTAAATGTGAACGTGAATTTATGTGTATATATTTGTTAGTTACTTTCAATACGAATATGCTAAGGTGAGTTCAATCTATACTAATCTTATAAAGAGGTAAAGTTTGTGAGCTTGTGAGGTTGTATAAGGTAATCTCTGGATTTACTGAACCGATTTAGATGAAATTTGGTTTGAAGATATTTTGAGATCCTGGGCGTTCCCAGGATCTTAAACTATCTTCTTACTTTCGTTACATAGGATATTTTTATCCCGGAAATCATCCCTTAAGGGGGTGAAAATGGGGATGAAAGTTTGTATGGGTAATCAAGCAAAGGACGAACCAGAGTGAAGCGAGGGTGAGTCGCTAGTCATAAAATAAATTGAAAATAAGGTAAAAATAAAATATAAAACAAAGTAATCAAAGTACGTAAGGGTCACCATCGATATCCATCCGGATCATTCTTACGGTAAATCCTAAGCCTTGGAGTGATGGCTACTCCCTCTAAGTAAAATGTATGGGATTGACATTGCGATACTTATTGCGAACTTGGGTAGCTCACGGTACAATAAAATATGTTTGCGTAAATTGGTAAATGTAAAACAGATACATATACAAATTGGTTCGACCTGAAAGAAGCCGATTCATCAACTACTGAATCTAAAGTGATGAAATTCTGACATCTATTTCAAAAGCTCTCCTTTCAAAGTTGTGAAATGTAGCGAGAAAATTTGTATCGAAACTGTTATTTTAGTATTATTTGTGTGTCAAATTAAAAAAGGCAATTCAGGAAACTTCTCGGCAGCCTTAATGGCATATTTATATTAATTATATAATTTCTATAAAAATAAATATAAATAACAGTTAAATACCTACTTATATAAATAATGTAAATTCACAAATACAAAACCGTTTACGACCTCATTAAAATTTTATTATCATCATTAGATTTGTAGCTAATTTATATAAATAATCCTTTAGCAGCTAAACCGAATTCCGACTTTGCCGTAGACACATACAGTGTTCACACTACTCGAGTCTCGACAGGTGCTAATTTATACGAGGCGAGTTGTAATTTACGACTACGTTGTCTTATGTGCTGTGAACAAAGAAGTACTAATGAAAGAGTATAACTGCTTAATAAATGTAATCTATACATATAATAAAATTCTAACTAAGCCGAATCTGTACATTAAATAATTTACAGTTTTTTTTGGAAAATCTTATTGAAATAGACATTATTATCGATACAGAGGCCGAATCTATAGTTTTTAGAATTTTTGTCTCTCTGTCTGTCTGTCTGTGACCGCATCACGGAAAAACCATTGGACAAAATTTAATGAAAAGTATGGTTCTATGAAATCTGGTTATCCGGTTCAACATATAGGATACGTTTTTGCGGGAAAATATCTCATCTCTGAAAAATCTATACTAAACATAAAGTAAAAGGTTTTGAAATATCTATCTTACATAAAAGTAATAATATATACATAGCAATTTTTTTCTTATTTAACTATGATTACGACATTTTTATTGTAAGCAATTATTCAAAAATATATATGTATGTTAAATTTGATCGATTTCATTAACTAAGAAGTAAGATATCAAATAAAGACATGTTCACTTTCATACTGCTAGGAACTCGACAAGTGTTAATTTATGACAGCCAACTCGTAATTTATGACTTAAGTTTGTATCTTTCAGTTAGATATTTTTATGTATATTATTTAACTGATATAACAATTGTTATAAAAGATAAAGACATCATATCTCAAATATCTATAGGTATGGTGTAGTAAAAGTGTTATGCAGTTTTATAAAAGAAAATAGGGACGAAACACAAAAGACTTGTTCAAAAATAGAGCACTGCAATCGAACAAAAAAAATTCTAACCGTAGTTGCGTAAGAAAGACTGCGACAAAATCAAACCATTTCCAATAAAAGCGCCCGCCTATATAGAAAATATTTACCTATCGCATCACGAACAGAAAGGTAACTGTATTTTTCGTCGTAAAAACTACCCCTGGTTTTCATCCCTTCTCGTATATTATATAGCCCTATCCGTTAAAGCTTATCTTTTGATATCAAGCAAAACGTTGTATGTGACATTGGCGATTTTTAGTAAAACAATTTTTGCCTAGAAAAGGTCAGACTTTATAATACATACATAACTTAAAATTTCATTACTATGAGACTTACGATATTATTTTTTATTCTTTGTCATTCTCAAAGTCTTTATGGTAATATTTTTCTTAGTAATATAATATAAAAACTTATAATGAAACTAAAAATAAGTAACTAATTCTTACAAGTCAATAACAAAGTATCTCGGTACTAGAATACAAAAAGTGGGTAGCTTGTAATATTTAGGTCGCAAAAGATATTACACTTTGAAAAGAAGCTTTATAGCAATGAAATTGGTTCATTATTTTGTATAAAACGCTTACTTTTTATAGTTTTATTTTACTCGCATATTCCGCACTATACGTCGGAAAAAATCTACTACGGCATTAAGTCGCGGTGAGGAGGCGGGGGTCTTTCAAGTCTGAACACTTGAATGCCACCCGCCCCACACTCCCGCCTTCTATACTATGTTTATTTGCATGGATGTTCCTTTGAAATAGTTTAAAAATAAATATTTTTATGTATTCTTTTAAGTACGATACTACTATTTTAAATATTGATGTTTAACACATTGCCTTGTTTGTAATTATCTATATATTATTTTTATGAAGCATCTTAAAATTTTATTTCTTCTTCTTGTATTAAATAGACAACCAAATTTTAAACGTATTATAATAATAAGCGCACAAATTCTAAGTAGGTCAGTTCCAGTAACAGTGAATCCTAAACTACAGGCAATAACAATAGAGGGAAATGGAACAAGCAATAGAAAACATTGAAAGGCAAAACCACATTCGGCAATCGAACGTTCGCGAAGAACTCGCACTGACAACAAGCGGTCTCTTATAACTTTTCCCTTTTAACCTTTCGCCCCCCTGCTCCCTCGGGAGGCGGTCCCCAGGGCCCGCGACTCCCTACGCCCCGCTCCACTCAATACCGACACGCCATGCGGACGCCAAAGAT